TTTTTTTTTTTTTTTTTTTTTTTTTTTTCTCGTTTTCTCCTCTGCTTATATTATAGTTTATTGGGTTTGTTGTTTGTATTGCTTTTTCTTTTAATTCCTTTGAGTGGTTGTTGGGTGTATTGTGTATTTGTCTATTGCTGCCTCTTCCCTCTGGCTCCGTGCTGGTCTCTTGGGGGTTCTGAGCATTGCTGTTAGCATTGTTTCTCTCTTCGTTTTTTGTGTCGCCGTCAGTAGTATATTTTGTGTATACATTTATACTATCATCTTGTATTTGTTTGTTGCACTTTAGCGTATTCACCTATTGCATGTACAGTAAAACTTTTTTCAGTTTGTTCTTATTAAACACGTATATATTTGTTTCTCTTTTCTTTGTCTATATATTTCGATTGTATTTGGTTGATGGTGCGCACAGCTGAGACAGAAGTGAAGGTAACCAGCGAAAAAAAAAAATTTTTTTTGTTGTGTTGTTTCCTACAGAACTTGCCTGCGGAGCTGCTGTACCCGACAATAGAATACATATTGCCGCCAAGCTTATCTTTACCCAGCAGTGCAGCAGCAGCAGCAGCAGCAGCAACAGCAGCAGGCACACAGTTGCTGCCGCCACCTCTATTTGTGTTGGTGCTTGACACTTGCATTATAGAAGAAGAAGTTGAACAGCTCAAGGACTCGTTGCTGCAGGTGCTGCTGCAGCTGTTGTTGCTGCTATTCCTGCTGTGCTGCTGCTGGCGGCGTGTGCATGTTTGTTTGTGTATATATGTATTCCGTGTTGCTGTCTTATATAGATTTGGGGCTGTCGTCTTCATCCTCTGTTTTGCATGCTGCCTCGTGTATTTGTTTTGCTGTATAGACACTGATGTGCATGCACTCGTTCAGCTGCTCTTACATTCCCCTCCATCGCATGTTTTGTTTGTTATTATTTTCTTTTTAGTTCATCGCAAAGCCTGCGCTGCTGTTTCTTAAGCGGGTACTCTTTACCTTCTCATATATACTGCTTTCTATCTGTGTTCTGGGTTTATGCGTAGTGTATGGGTTA